TAGCAACTAAATATTGTATATGTATGTCCACACAGCCACTAGAAGCGGAATAAACATTTCCACCAAACTGAAACCAATATGAAAGCAGAACTGGAGGCAGTGGAGATGGAAAAGACTTATTAGGACAGCTTGCCCATCCCCCAGGCCTGTTGTCCCTTGAAACCCGTGTTCTTGGTTCATGCATACCTCCTCTGTGTGTTCTGCTACACAACACTTAATGCATAAACAACGAGCATCCATTAGTGTCACCCTGCTACAAAACATGCAGTAACAGGCTAAACTGACAGTAAACCATTCTAGGATATCTGTTGGTAAGGTCCAAAGATTTTTTGCAGACTTCATATATCCAAACAGCTAGCAGCTTTTTCATAGGAAATACACAGCTATTGATAATACTTGGTCTTCTTTACAATTTAGAGAGGCATTGGAAAACCATGAGAAAATATCAGCATAAAACTATGTTCAGATATGCAATTATGCCATTTCAAACATTGCCGGATTATTATTATTGATTAGGGAAAAAAACAACACAGCAGCTGTGTAAGTCTGAGGAATTCCCTCTGTGTCTGGATTATTGATTTAATAGCTACAAATTGTCTAGATCTCACCACTGCACTTGTGTCTGAAAATGCTGTACATGAGTTTGCACTGTTATTTTCTCTGAAATAGGACAAGAATTATATATTGGGGAGAGTTCAGGATTGGTTGTTATTTCCACTAAAGAACTTCACACAATAGAAATACAATATACCAACTGTATCTTTGAAAGTAAAAATTAAGGTATTTGGAGCTAAAAAATAAAAATAAAAATTGACTTTTCAGAAAAGAAAGTATTGAATTTCATTTACAGTTCACTCAAAAATTATCCTTTTCCTTCTTACCCCTCTAGGCAATTGGAGGTAGAAAAATGAAGCAGAAATGTAAAACAGGAAAACTATTGAAGTGTGAAAGGGGATGTAAGTGTTACAGTGGCTTAGGTTACAGCAATACACTTAAGCTGTGGTACACTTAGGAAGGCTAGATAGATAGATGGTAGACAAAAATTGCCTGCTAACTTGCCTATCCGTGTGTGCTGCAGTCAGCCTGTCTCTGCTTTACTTCCTTATTACTTGGTTCAGCCTGCTCAAGCTGTGGTTTTTGTTCTGTGCAAGACTCCCTTTGCATGCCCTGCTTGTGAAGCATGCAGATAAGAGGCATGGTGTGAACGGCAGCTTATGTCACATGCACGACAAGATATGGCAGTGTTGTGGGGTACAGTGCTGCAACAGAGGCAGCCCCAGGAACACAGATCTTCTTTGAGAGTGGATTGGATTACTTTGGATTCACTTGCCTAAAAACGTGGGTGTTGACTGAGAAAAGTAACAGTATTCAGAACTGAGAATGTAAACATAGTACAGTAAACAGTCTATTCATGAGTGCTTAACCAGAGCAGGGTAATCTAAGCAGTACAGACTGTCCTGGTCAAAGAAACTTGCATACGCATGAGAATGATACAGTTTGTGTTTTACTGCCTCAGTAAAGCATCCCTCTTTCCTAGCATGGAGGGTGCAGCAGACAGCAGTGAGTCTTGTAAAAGCTATTTCCTTCTAGAGTTGGAGTCAACAGAGATGGTATTTTACTATAGGTCTCTCATATATGAATTGAATTGAATTTAGTTCTACCACAACTTAACAAGGACAATACATAAAACCCTTAATGTGATTATTGGTCTAAAAATGGTAAGACTTGTGTACATACATGATGTTACTTATACTATTTATTTGTTTAGCATGGCCCTAAAAAAACAACAACAAAACCATACCAACTTGAGTAGCTGCATCAGTTGCTGGCTCTCTAACCCAGTCCATTTACAGTGATTTTTGTGAAAGAATATACTGCCCTAAAATACTATTGTAAATATGTTGTCCTAAAATACTATAGTCTCTCTGTTTCTGACAAGTAATGAACACACACATGGAAATCATGTGTCTTCCTACAGTGTTAGCTGTTGATAGTACTCAGGTCTCTACAAAATGTTACAACTTTCATGAGAGGCGTGGAAAAGTCTACATAATGAATCATGAAGCCAGTAATATACTATGAACAAAAAATGTATCTAAAATAGTGAAAAGTTCAATATATAAATCTCAGGCTTTCATATTTTTATTGGAGGAGGGAAGGAAGATTACGAAATTAGTGCCTGCAGAAGAGGGCCATAGGTCACAATTAAATAATGCCTGTTCTTTGTTCTAATAAAAAATAAACACTGTATATTGATCCTCATCTGTCTTCTGCAACAAACTCTCCTAACACAACAGCTATTCACAGCTTTCTGTCCTAAACCACTCCTACCAGTTCTATGATCTACCTGCTCCTTTGCTGAAAGATCAACAATGCAGCGACCACTTAACTTGTAATGCATGCATTTTTGTTAGAGCCATGTAATTCTGAGACCTACTGAAACCTTCTAAAATAAAGAAAAATATGAAACATTTAAAAACCACAGAAGAATGAAGATGTGTTACCTTTAATATCATGGAGAGATACTAGCAATAGGTCCCAGCAATAGCTCAAAATGATGGCAGATATCAATCCATTTGAAATCATCATTTTGTTTCAAAATGACAAAAACATTTTCATATCACAATCACAATGCTTAACTTTTTGAAAATAAATGAATGGAAACTGGAAATCTATGAACAAAAAATGCTAGATAAATCTCAGACCATACCAACGCTAGATTTTCAAGTGCTTTTTTGCAGATAAACATGATAAATTTTTCAAGCTCTGTATGTATCTAGCTATTGGCTGTCCTCTTTGATATAAGCCTATTCTCTACCCAGTTACCAGCTAAGTATTATAGAATTAACCACAACTGTTAAAGTCGCATGAAATCAACATAAAAGTGATAAAACATGAAGGGATCAAGAATATAACACAATCTCTTATTTCTGTTACCTGAGTCTCTGGAGAAATACTTTAAAAGTTCACTTAATAAACATACTAATCTTTTCATATTATTTCAAATAAAGGTAGTTGAATCCAGTACTGATTGGATTTAAATATTTCAATAAATCATATTAAATAAATCATGTTGTGAATCATAGAAAAATGTGCAAATCTGCGATCTTAGTATATGTTTATGTTATCATTCCCATAGGCTTTACACAAAGAGAACTTTGTGTTGCAGTGTTAACATATTTAATCATTTGATATAACAAATTACCCCTCATTTGTTTATTAGAAGTTAGCTAAAAGCTGGCTAGAAAACTACTGACTCTAATCTCTTTAATTTCAACCAGTGATTTTGTTGCCTGAGTATCTAGCTACTGGAGATCCCTAGCTGGTATTTTTGGCATTTTTAGCCTGCCATGATTGTACAGCTTTATCGAATAAGAGCTTCGAAACCAGCAGGTATATTTCTAAAATATTACAGTCTGGAAAAAAAGAAAAAAATACTCTACTTCGGGGGAAAAAAAAGAAAAAAAAAAGTATTAATTGCTTTTGGAAAGAGCATGTCTGCCTTTATAGCTTTCATCCTGCCACCCTTGTTGTCATTCTCTAGCTCCTCTGTTTCTCTTAAATTCTTCCAATATCTCACTATAGAGGTTTAATCTTAATTTATAGAGATTATCATGTTTAATCTCTCTTGGAATCAACAACTTACTACTTAACAAAATCTATCCTTCCCTCTGTGGAGGTCTGGTTTCTACAGTTGCCATCTCTCTTCCTTCTTTCTCCCAATCAAAAGCTTAACTCTGAGTTAAGCATGTCATTTTTTAAAAGGCCACCACTAACCTATTGCTATTCTTATCAGTCAAAAAAATAACTGTAATGGATTGACTTCTTAACTGATTATTTTTTCCCGAAGCTCTATAACTTTTTTTCAAAGGCTCAACTTATTTTCCCATATCAATGCCAATGTTATCCTCAAGAACTTTCATTTTCTATATTGTTAACTGCTTTTTTTTTTTCCTTCTGCTAATCACATTTGTCCCGTCTTTCATTTCATTCCCATTTATCCCATTACACTTCATGTCTCAGAACTCTAAGTTAATCTCCTCCATGCACTTCTGTTTTTTCAACTAATACATCCACAGAAAGCCTTCAACTATGCACAGTCTCAACATTCAGTCAAGCAAGCCTTTATGAATTCCCCCTTGCAAACTTCTTCATTGAAATCACATACAGTCTATATAATTGAATGTATAGAGCTGTATTACTGTCGCTATATAGATATCCACATATATGTATAATAGAAGAGTGACCAAAGTTGGAAAAGACCTACAAGATCATCCCATCCAACCATTCACCTATCAGCAATAGTTCTCACTAAGCAATGTCCCTCAACACAATGTCTAAACATTCCTTAAACACCTCCAGGGTCGGTGACTCCACCACCTGCCTGGGCAGCCAATTCCAGTGCCTGACCACTCTTTCAGAGAAGCAGTACTTCCTAATGTCCAACCTGAATCTCCCCTGGTGCATATGTGGCTGTATGTATGTTTGTGTGCAAAGACAGACAGAAATGCTGATGAACTGACCCTGTTAAGGCCATCTGGATCCATACCTCTGAACTGGTATGTTCTGGAACTCAGTGTTGCTCAGTATGGTGCTTTTCTGATTCTTCCTCAGAGCTGCAGCGTACGGATCAGTGCAGGACTCAAGGGCTGCCAATGAGGAAATCAACCATCATACAGAGGGGCATCATCATCTAGAAACAAGTGAAAGGAAATATCACTGAATGAGCAGATGAAGGGGAGAGCCATGTGTGAAAAAGGGAACGAAGCAGTGGGTGACAGGGAGAAATGCAACGAAACCGAACAGTGTGGAGGTGAAAAACAAGAGGACAAGGCTAAAGAGGCCATAAAACACACAGATGAGAGAGCAAAAGAAGAATCCGTGGGGTAGGACTGAAACAACTGCCATCGTGGAACGATGTCAAAACCACAGGCAACGCCAAAAGGTTCGAGGGGAAGAGAAGTAATAAACATTTAGTGCAATGTCGCGTATAATGGCACCTCAGACCGCGTCCCTTCTTTCTCACCCCACGGCCGGCAGCCCAGTGACACTCGGGCCCCTGCGCAGGGCTCCGTCCCCCCGCGCCCTCGGGCTGCGGGCTCTGCCACAGGGCTTCCACACGGCGCGCGAGAGGGGACGCGTGACCAATCGCTTCACTTGGCACCAAGGTCTGAAATGTGGCCGCCGCTCGAAACCCAGCGGCGCCAGGAGAGGCTTGCCAAGGGCTACGGACCGCGGCGAGGAGAAAAGAAAGCCGTGCCTCGGCCCACCGCGGCGGAGAGGACGTGGGACGAGCGGGGACGGCCGGTTGCCGTGGAGAAGGCGACGCCGCGCGGCAGCCTGCGCGCGAATAAAATGGCGGCGGGCGGCAGCGGCCTGTCGCGGGTAAGGCGGCGGTTTGGGCGCGGGGAGGCGGGAAGCGGTGCGGTGGGTGCGGGCCGCACGCTGAGTCGCCTCATTGCAGGTGTGCAGAGCGCCGGGCGGCCCCTCGGTGCCCGCCGGGAGCGGCGCGGTGAGCGGCGAGCTGCTGGAGCGGGAGGAGCGCTACAAGTAAGGGGCGGCCGGGGGGCGGCGGCAATCCCTGCTGGCGGCGATCCCTGCTCGCAGCCCCGGCTCCGCTCGCTGCGGGCTGGCGACGAATCGGTCCCGCCGTCTGAATCTCTGAAGCGCTCGTCCCGGAGCGCGCTGAGAAAGCTGTGACTTCTTTCCATCCATCACCGTGCCGTGCGGGAACCCCGGGGCGGCTGTGCACCGCGCCGGGCATCGCTTCGCTCAGGGGCTTTCGGTTTTGCTACTTAACAAAATGGCGTTACTCGTCCTACTAACCTGCATGTAAATATGGTGACACGTTTTAATTATATAATCACGTCATTGAACGCCACTGCTTCTCTAACCCATGCTTCGAAGTACGCTTCAGGATCGTGACTGAAAACAGAAGTGCTGTAGAGTTAAGGATGTAAGATGTGGTTTAAGCAGTGACATGACAGAAAACGAGGACACCCTTTCTGTCTCAGAAGGGCTGTGCAGCCTGGAGGAGAGGAGACCTGAGAGTGGCCTTTCAGTATCTGAACGGGGCTGTAAGAAAGAAGGGGACACGCACAGCAGCAGGGTGTGCTGTGACAGGACAAGGGGAAACGGTCTCACGCTAAAGGAGAGGAGTTTTATGCTGGATATAAGGAAGAAGTTTTTACAGTAAGGGTGGTGAGGCACTGGCACAAATTGCCTAAAGATGTGGATGCCCCATTCCTGGAGACACCCAAGGTCAGGCTGGAGGGGCTCTGAGCTCCTGCTGGAGCTGTAGGTGTCCCTGTTCAGTGCAGGGGAGTTGGGATAGATGGCCTTTAAGCATTCATTCCAACTGAAACCGTTCTGTGATTCTATTACAGTCTAAACATGTGCACATGGTGTTTTATTACTATAGATTTGATAGAAAGCCAGGACACTGATGAATCAACTTGAATAATACCCTGTAGTATTTGCTGCTCCTTTGTAGGAGTTATTAGCATTTCACTTAGTTCAGGCAGGTGCTAACAGGGTCACATGTACATCTTTAAATCTTTCAGAAACTCAGTGACACACATTGTTATTGTACTCTTTCAGGAAACTGAATGCAGAATTAGAAGCAAAAAGAGAAAAACTGATGCGTCACACCGAAGAAGTAATGGTGAGTAGGTTATGCTGGCTGTTATATAATTCAGCCTTGGTTCACATGGACGCAGGGTCAAGTTTCAAAAGAAATTATTTTGACGTGACAACTAAAAGTAGTCTGGTTTCAGATTCAATCTAAGCTTTTCTTGCCTTTTCCCAACCCCCTTCCTTCAAAATTGTAAACTTTACTAAAAACACGTGCAGAAATAGTTTTTAATAGAATTTCATCAGATAGATGGATATTCACATAACTGTGTAGAACATTTGTGCACTTATACATAAGATCAGCTAAGAAAGCTTTATATGATGTTTAAGGATAGTCTCTGCAGACGGTTTTATGTCTTAAATAAAATGCTATTTTGGTATTTGAAAACCAGATGCTGCAATAACTAGTGAAATACATAGCTGAAGCTGACAGGAGTACAAAGAATAAGCAATATAAATAGAAAATATGTACTTAGTTAAAGGGAAACTTTCTTAAAACAGAAGAAAAATTCCTGTTTATTGTTAGTATTATCTTTTAACAATAGTGTGGCTTTGTGCCAATTTTTATATGAAAATTGGTCAAGTTATAAAAAAAAAGAGAGAGCTGGGGTGATCTGTTTTATACCCAAGACACCTTTAGAGAAAGTGCCCTTCTTACTAGAAATGTTCAAAATATGGTTTCACTCAAATAAAAAAAGCTTAAAAACCAAAATATTTTGCCTATTTATTAAACTTCATTCTTTGTGTCCTATGAAATCATACATTCCTCTAGAGTTCTGGTAAGTTGAGGCTGTTTGAACAGAAGCAGATGAAGCACCCAAAATAGCATCTAGTCTCTTTCCTTTGAAAAACAGCAACAACTAAACCACTTTTTTCCCCTCTAAACGCAGCTGCAGATCAAATATTGTTGGGACACTTAATAAACCATGTAGCACTGCCTGATTGCACAGATGCACATTTAACAACAAAAGAAAAACAAATCAGAATTTAAAAAAGAAAACAGGATAACTACTTTTAGCTCTGGATTATGCTTTCTGACCGTTTCTTAGCAACACAGAAGCTATCTCAACATTTAGTGTTTGACTAAATTGTTCTCTGAAGAACATAACATATCAGTGTCTGAATTACGGCTATATTGTATGAATGAAGACTTATATTTAAGGCTTGTGCTGTAATACAGCAAACTGCTATGCATTTCTACCTCTGCATTTCAGAGAAAGGGAGGATAACAGCATCTAAGATGATGAGTTTGCAGAAGTTTTAAGTTACACTTTCTGAAGCAGAAATAAATATTTGGGGATAGCAGCAGGTTTTTGATTTCAAGCTATCTTTTCTTGTGTTTAAAAAATCCTTTTCTACAGTAGACATAAGTGGCCATGTCTACTATAGTTTCACTGTGATTTATGAATATATAATTTCTCTTTTATTGTTCATATTCTCCCCAAATTTACTTCTTTATTTTCCTTAATAAAGAAGAGCCAACAAGAGACACTATCTAGACCAATTTCAGTACAAACTAAGTACTGTGAAGATGACAAACAGAGGTATGTACTTTACAATTGCTATGTGTATTTCATGGGGAATTTCTGGTAATCATCTGTACTCCCTGACTTGTCCTAGTCATGCTTTGCAGCATAGACCACTGAATTAGTGGAGTCTAAATATTATCTTATTGTTTTAAACAACTGATACTAAACCAGTGTTCCTTGTTTTCATAGATGTCTTAACTTTGATGAAATATTCTATCTAGGAGACTAAGTAGTTCAAGTATCTGTAAAAATGCAAGTAACCAGTTTAGCTTATAAAGAAATAGCTTTTATCTTCATTCTAATTTTACTTGGCTTAAATGCTGTGGAACAGGAAATGCACTATTTAAAGAAACAACAACAAAAAACCCCTCTACAACAAAGAAACCCAAGATATACAAACGTTCAGCTGCCACCATCTGGAATTTTGATATAATTACACTCTACATACCTTTAGTCTGTAAGAATATGCCCAAATGTGGGATTGGGCCTCTATGTTCAAATCTGTTAGCTGTACAGTGGTACCTGGCAGTATTTACACAGTTATTCAAAGGTATGTATATTGGTAGCACTGAAAGTGGCTAAGTTGGAGATATGCTAATATACAGTTTAATGGGGATCTAATCAACTATATTACCAAATTTGTGTCAAGAAGTCTGTGATGAAGGCCTGTACACCAGCAAAAAGCTTTGCTACTATAGTAACAGTTATATCTGAGCTATTTTGAGGCTGTTTCTGTAAGTTGTGAGGGTCAGAAAAAAAAACAAATTAAAAATACACCATCTCTTATTGGTATAGTCTTGCATTGTGAGCATATTCTAGTACATAGATCCTCTTTAGTATTATGTTCTGCTGGCTGAATTTTGAATACTTGACAGAAGATTTCTATGAACTTCAAAACAAAGTTGAATTATAGAGTAATTTTACAAATTAATGTGATCAGAGGAATCAGCTCTACAAAGAGAGTTACCAGCCATGGTGGTGTACTTTTGAAATAAATGGAAGTGCTGGAAAATGTTGGTAAGTAGTGCATCAGAGCAGCAGCTAATCTACCAATTACCTACATAAATTAAAAGATCTTAAAACAAGCACTGTGTTCTGGTAAACATAGAAAGAAGAGAATTGAAATCCCATGCTGGAGTGGAAAAAAATACAAGCGTATGTTAGAAATCAGGCACACTGATTATCCATGAGTGAACATTGAGGCCATTCAATTAGATTAGTTCCAAGTATTTGATATTTATTTTTCCTGCAAAATTATGCAAGCAAATATGCATAAATCAAAAGGAAGCATCTAAAATCTTTTTGAAACAAGTTTCATTATTTCCTGTATGGAAAATGAACACTAGAGACACTGAAACAAAGGGAAAACATTGAGGTTAAGTAGGAGATAGAATGAGAAAAAAAGACAAGTGCAAAAATTAATAAGAAATGTTAAAAGGCAAAAATATTCAAGTCATTCTCTATGGATGTATTTTAAAATACGTAATGGAGGAGATTTTATAGCTTATTTTTTTGCAGAGAAATGTGAATTACCTAGAGACAAAGCAGCTCCAATGACACCGCATTGAAATCAGCTTTTGTTTACACTTTTGCTCTTCAGAGCATCACCAGGCTCACAGAGATGGGATCTGTGTGCGCATGGGCAGGCATGGTGCAGGCTTTGAATAGGATTAGTGAACACAAAGGATTTGCTCATGCACATGCACCTCGTATTTACATGCTGAGATGGAATTGCTAAACATTAGCTTCTGTTTCAGTGTCACTGCAACTGTCCAGCTACCTATTGTTATACCTTTTCAGGTTTTACACATTCATTTCACTTACCAAGCAACCACAGAACTGTATTGCAAGGCTTTAAAAACGTGTTGATGTGGGAAAGAAGGGGAAAAAATTCTAATAAGGATAAACAAATTTAAGAAATTTGGTGAACAATGAGGTTTTTATTTGTTTTATAAGGAAGGCTGGGGGAAAAGGGACACTGTAGGACCAGATCAGTCTATTGATCAAAAGAATCCTTTGTTTTCTTGAGCATTAAATGTTGTATTTTCATGTTTTTCAGAAAATGTAACTGTTATTTCTGTGGCAACAACTCCTCACTTTCTACGTCCTCTGTAAAACTAGCCAATAGGAAGGGAGTGTGAGAAAAATAGGGTAAATAGACAAAAACTAATCATCCTATTCTTAAAGTCTGTTGCCAGCCACACAGATAATTTCTCCCGTGCTGGTTTTAGTTTTGTTTGGATTTTTTTTTTTTTTTTTTTTTTTGTATTAATACATTCTGGAGCTTTGTTCAGATAATTCTTATTGTTGAATGGGTGTCTAAAATTTTTTAAAGGCAAAACCTAATATTTGTCTAGATCAGCTGGACCAAAATACTGAGGTGACTTAATATGCCTAAAATTTAAAATTTATTACAAATATAAACTTATGTTAATTGAGGAGTTAGAAGCTGTAAAAAGTGGTAGAAAAAGGTAATCATTCATGGGATTGATAGAGATCTACATGACTCTGAAAACAAAGAAATTGTACATCTGACATGAAACTTGAATAGTACACAACATGCTAAAATTTTCTGCTGTCTTCCAAAATAATCATTTAACCTGAAATTTGGTTTTCAGCCAAATAAATAGATAAGAAAGCTACTCTTTCATTCCTGCCTCCCCCACCCAAATCTATAAAATGAATACAGTATTGGCAATATATATTTCAGAGGAAATTGAGAAACTTTAAAAACTTACTTTAAATAAATTGCTCCCATCTTCCATTTATTCCACAGTCCCTGTCAACTGCCAACAGGCAATTTAAGCATTTCCATTCTCAGAGGTAGAGAACACAGGCCTATATCTTTATTGTTTTGCATTAATTCACTTATTGGAACGTCAGATGAGCATATGAGTCACTGAACTGCTGGTGATCTTTGGTCCTCTTGCCTGTCTCTCCTGCTGAAGCTGTTAAGGCTCCTTCCATACACTAGCTAAGTGCTCCCTGGTACAGGGAATCACTGGTTGTATTTGCTGCAGTTACCTGCACTGCAAGAGATGAGATTCAGATTCCAGTACATAAGCAAACTGTAGTGTTGGAGACCATAATGGAATAATTATCGTAGACTCCTCAGGTGACTTGTGTAGCAAATGAGATAGAATGGAAATGAGAATGAGACTGAATTTATGACTGGACCTGGCATATGTTCCTACATCCTGCTGATGGTAGACATACATATCTAATGTTACTCTCCTAATTAAGGTGATGGTGGATTGTTATCACAAAAATCAACATTTTTGCTATATGTACTCAATGAACTTATTTTTTTTCCTGCAGAGATCCACTCTTTCTCAAAGTTTCATCTCTTACACACTCTCATACCAAGGTATCAAATTCAAAATTATTCTAACTAGTTTTGCTTCTGCCTATTACTTCTGTTTTTGAGGCCATGCTATCTGGAGCTTACATGGGTAGGGAGCCTGAGGGAAAGAGTGCTCAGAGCAGACTGCTACAGGGACAGATGGAGCAGCATCTCCAATACTTTCTTCTGCAGCTCCACCATTGGATAAGTAGGCTTCCCCTATATTTCATTTTTGTATTTTAAATTTCTCTTCTGTAAAAGCTTATCTGTCACTTGTCAGAAGCGCTCAGTGTTTTGAACATTGATTTAAGCACTTTAAGTACAAAACATTAGAACATTCATTTCTTCCTTTCCCCAGTATAATACCAAAGGCAGTTCTTCAGTCTTTTTGTAGTCAAAAGAATTTAATACAGGATGGAAAATGCAATAGAAAAGGGAGATTTAAATTAGGAACAAACTAATGTAACTTGCTGGTCTCCAATTAGAATTACATTGAGTTTTTTAGCAGACAAAGTTTCCAGAATGGTCTTCACACTTATTTATCAGAGTACAGTAGACTCATTTTTGAAGATCATTTACTTGGGTGAAAGAAACAAAATGTTCTTAGATCTTTCTGTAGGGAACTTAAGATTACAACAGTACTATTTTTTTTTTTTAAAAAGGCATTTTTTAAGACATGATAAACAGTGTTCAAAGAAGCACAGTTCACAGCAAATAGTTAGTAACTTGATAATACCTGGGAGCCTTATCATCTATTAATTTATTATTTATTATGAGTGCATCTGAAAAAGATCCTACAAGGTAGTAATGTTTCAATGTATATAATTTGGGCATAAGGCATAAAATATGCAAGAGAATGACTAGTACAAATAAAACTGAATAAATCTAAGATACTGAGACTTCGGAAATCATATGTTGGGCTTGAATACATGAAAAAGGGGGGAAATAAAAAAAACAAAATACACACTAGCAAAAAGTAATTATTAACTAACAAAAATCCCTGTTTTCTGGGAAATTTTACAGCCATCAAACAAAAAGAAATGTGCTCCTGCATCCATGGTTCAGAACAGGACATATTCTGGAAATAAAGGGAAAAGAATAACTTCAAGGTATTACGCGTGTGTTTTGTTGTTGGTTGTAATCAAGAATTTTGTTTTTGTTTTTGTCTTAGCAGGGTGTTTTTATTCATACATGCTTCTACATTTATATATATGTCTGTATGACGAAACGCACCAAATTATGTCTGTAGTCAGCTCCCCCAGGTAGCTTTCTGGTCACCTCAACTCACCTCCACTCAAGCTTTTCTGGAGGCTGACAAAGGTAAACTCTGTTAACTCAGTCAGTGAAAGGATGCCCAATGAGCACCCTCAAAGCACATCTGGGGCAAATAGAATTCACACCAGTGGTGCAGGATAATTTGTGATCAGACTTGTTATGGGAAACACGAGGCCTTCTAGCTTCTCTGCTATTTTGGTGAATCTAGGGGCTTACAGAACTAGAGAAAGTCAGTAGCAGTACCACAGCTTTCTGGGGTTTTCAGTTTTTGCTGAACCGCTATCCCTGATAGCAAATTCAAGGTCATAAGACCAATTGGGTTCTGAACAGAAGAGTAGAGAAATAACAGAAGAATGTTTGTGGATAAAATCCTGAGATCAAATGAAAACTGCCACAAGAGAAAGTGTGGACACATACCAAAATAGGATAAAAATGGTCTGCAGAGTGACAGAGCACGGAATCAGTACAGGCCAAGAATGTCTTCTGGGACATGGGAGTCACTTGTGGACCCTTTCTACCTCCTTGATTACACTGAGGTTGTTGTGCTGGCACCATATCATGAGATTTAGGAATAGAGTTGCACAGGTGCATAACAAGTAAGTGAACTCAAAGTTATAGGAGAAGGTGACCTATGTAGCATCTGTGTTGTATACATTGTGTTCACAGCTGTTATAAAAACTAACATTTGCAACTTCTAGGATTAATGAACTTTCCTATCCAAACATAAGATACAGAAGCTAACAGACAAGGGAAAAAATTGAAATTTAAGACAGTAGTTAAGTCCTAAAGTCCTTTCCCCTACTCTGAGGTAGGAAATTGTTGGATGAGAAAGAGACGGTACTAAAATCATCTTCGTAGAAAATAGTAATTTATCTGCTTCTACATTATGATACATAGGCTGTTGTAGTCATGTGGAAGATGATAATATTTTACATAAAGAAAATGAGAATTTAGCATTGATTAGTTTTTGTGAGAGCAAGCAATGAAGTTGCATTAGATACAGCAAATACTATATTTCTGTAATTTTTGCTTTATATTATAAAAAGTGCTTGGGTTTTTGGTTTTTGTTTTGTTTTCTTTTTGCTTGATTTTAGTTCTGAAATCAATCTGGAAACACAAAATGGAAACACTGACGATGTTACAGTGTTGGAGGATTGCACTGGTTTTTCTTTAGCAAAAACAGTGAGTGAAATTGAAGGAAAAGTAGAGAAAGGAGGCTTGCCAGATTGTCTGGATGATGATATTATTCCAAACACTGCAAGTGAAATTGGAGCAGGTAGGTTTCATACATTATTTGTACTCCCTGACTGTTAGTAATGATTTCTCCTAGAGGGAAAAAAGAAAAAATTATGTAGAAATTATATGGAAAGTTTTATGCCCTTAAGTTATATTGTGTTAAAATGAAAAGGTTTTTCTTAAGTAGTCCTAAAGGAAGATGAGGTCATATGTGAATAATTGTTGGGGAAAAAGATTTTTTATCTTGATTTCCTTCTTTCCAAGAAGACACCTGAACCTTTAAAAATGTTGAATATATGGATAACACAGGAAGCAAAAATACATGATGCTAAGCTTATACTTTAAAAAAAACAAAAACAAAAACCAAACTTCAGTTTTTTGCAAATTCTGCCTTTAGAGAAAAGATTTTCCTCAAATCTGTGGATTAAGTGGCTTGAATGAAGTGATGTTGCTGTTACAGTGCATGAATGAGGATCCTCCAGATATTCGTGCTCTGAGTTAATGTTTCTTTGTCCTAGAAATGGAGTGGGAAGGGAGACTGCCACATTTGCCAGTGAAGCTAAAAGCATGATGCACATCTGTCTTTTTGGCTCTGGGGTGTTAAAAGGTTTATGTCATTTCTTACAGTGACAAAGTAAGCATGAAGTCAGATTCACTGCAGCAATGGAAAAATGCAGAAAAACTCCTCATATAATCTAGCAGCTCTGTGTCAGCAAGCCTGCTTACACAGAATTAGCTTGGTTTTTAACCTCATGTAATTGTGTGCAAATCTTACTTTAAATCTCCTAATACAGATCCTCAGATTTTTATTTATTTTAGTTCTTTTTCACTGCTTTGTTCTGCAGTGGAATCTTACACCTCAAGGGGAGTTGTTATTGGTACTCATGAATAGTGAGGATTATTTCTGTTACTTCAACGATGAAGTGAACTGAAAACACTTTGGAATGATTTATCCTTCCAAAATTTGTTGTTGATTGTTGAGGACACCTTGAACGCCTCACAGACAACAACAGTTCATCCTTTTACATGGTAAAGAAATTGTTGCAGAACAGATTAGCAGGGTAAATCTCACAGAGCAGTTACAATCATCACAAGAAAGTAGATGTAGATACTAAGTAGCCCCTGTTACAGGGGAACTGGGCCCACCCTTGCTCTGAAGGAAGATTTTGTAGCCAGGTCATTAATGGTAGAAGGAAAGCTGTTTTGTCGGGTTTTTTTGCTTTTTTTTTTTTTTTTTTTTTTTTTTTTTGGTAACAGAAAACACTGGCAAACACCACATTAAGTTGGATTTAAAGCAAGCTAAACAAAGTATTTTTTCTACAGTCTCTAACTGAATTAGGTAACCTGCCCTATTGTGAATACCTACATATAATGTGTTTTAAGAAGGGAAACGGTAATACAGAAGTACATGAGAGAATTAAATTTGATGTCTTCAGTATGTCTGCAGCTCAGGAAGTTACAACCTCAGCTGCATCGTACGGCTGATAAGGGAAGGTGTGTGAAATAAAAGGAATTCTACAATTCTACATTCGGAATTCTGAGAGCAAATCAAGAGATGTGCCCATCCATCCATTCCCATTCAGCTTCTGATATACTCCTCCTCTCCTTCATTCTTTTCCCACTGTACCTGCTGTGCACAGTGGCCGTTCTTGTGTTGTTCAGCGTGATCCTCATTTTGTTTCCATCCTTGTGCATGTGGAAGTTCAAAGGGAGTTCCTTGTGAATAATCTGTGAGAGAGTGGGGAATGGGAAGTAGAAGAATTCTACTCCCCTCTCTCCCACTACTCTGCTCTCTTCCCCTCCACTTGTTTTGTCACAACACTGGTATATTTCTTAGCTGCCCCAGAGCAAGAAAGTACTGCATTTGGGAAATACACCCTCTGAATGTGTTGGATCTTAAATGGTTAAGTATTGTTAGAAGTGTTCTTAAAAAAGTGTAGGGGGACATTTATCTATTAGGAGGGGTTTGCAGCCTACATTTAATTCCTTGGGAGCAGCATAAAGTTAGTTGTAACTCACAAATCACAGCTTCAGATTGATTGCACTGTAGAATTGCCTTATGATGTAGTTTCCTTGACTTCAAGCTTAAAGCATGCTGTAACATATAGAACAGTATGACAAAAGGTTTCAGAAATTTTCAATTATGAGAATTGAGTCTTTTATATTCTAGATGTGCTGTTTTCAGTCATTAAAAATAAAAATTCATCCTAAGCTTTCCCTACAAATTAGAAACCTGCAGCATTTATTTAGAAATGTTAGTTTCAACTTACCTATTTCTGTTTATTAAACTATCAACATAGCATGCTTTTTTTTAAAACAAAAAAGAAAATGAATTGTTCTTACATTGGTCTTGTCTCTTTTCTACATTGAATTCTGAGTTCTTAGGGATATTAAGTGTAACTTTTTATGTCTGCAGAAGCACAAATCAGGTTTCTTAAGGCAAAGTTACATGTTATGCAGGAAGAGCTGGATAGCATCATGTGTGAATGCAGGAGAAAGGTAAGTTTTCTTATCTGTGGAAAAACCCTGAGTCTACCCCCTTTTACAAAATAATCATAAATTTCCTCATCTTTATTTACGTTTTTAAGGGATTTTTTCCTTTCATTTAATAAAGAACCAGGGCTCTATTTTTAATTAGCTTTTTTTTTTTTTTTTTTTTTAATTTCCCAAGAATTTTGAATTTAGAATGGTGATTTCTGGATAAACATGAACTAAGAACTAGTAAAGCATACTGCTTGAAAAAATAAAAAAGACAGGAAAGAATGATTGGTGCTGAAGGTATGCCCAGCTCTATGGACACACACTGCTGCAGAGTGCCATGTCTGTCACTACCTGAGAAGGACGAGGAGCAGCCAAGTACAGATTTTTGGTTTGCAGAGAAGACAAGTGCTGCCCAGGACTGGCTAATAGGAGCAGAGAGATGGAATGGGACATTAGTTAAGCTGCAGAAGTTTAGTCAGGTACTGAGGGGATCCTTGCAGGGAATAAAACAAAAGTGGAAACAGCTCCTCTGAGATCCACTTAAAATGGAATATTTCAATTAAAACAGATTGAAACACCATTCACAAGATTATACTTGTTCTGAAGGACTGTATTTGGGATTACATATTTCAGTGAATCAGACTACAGATTTAAGGCAGGATGAAGCTGTACTGGTGTGTTTCTGCTGGAACATACTACAAGTGAGATTTTTAATCTGCACTGTCTGAAATACTCAGATACCTCTAAAAATGTAAAACCTGTAATAGTTTGTGTCTCTCTGCCAGAGAGAGTGCCTGTTTCTCATTTCTAAACAAGCAAGGTTTTTGAACTAACTTTTTGCTTTTCACAATTAGATGATGGTTAGTTATGGTCCATTGATTTCAGAACGTTTTTTCCCTCCTGTCCCCCAGGACAAATTTGATTATGACATTCAGGACATATGACAAACCACCCATGTGTTTTCTCTCAAGGTTTTGATTTAGAGTTAAAGAACATGACACTATTTATTTCTTTTTCTTGGAGACAGATACCTCAAGAAAAATTTTAGAAGTAGTATTTTCTGAATTCGTACTCATTACTGTATTTCATTTGTTTCAGTGCAGCTGCTTCTGCATTTTCATATATCTCTGCTGTGATCCAAATGTATTAACATCAGATTTTAAAAGACATTTTCACTTTCAAATCAAATAGCATTTTGTCAGCAGCAATGAACTTCACTGTTCCATGCCCAGAACTCTATGAAGTTTGGTTACTGTAGCAGGTGACAGAAGAAAACATTGTACTTTTGCTTCCATCACACTATGCATCATTTTGGGTACTAGATTCTGTGGTGTGGAAATAACTTTATTATATTATCAGATAATTCTCCTATTGGCAAATTCACAACTATTTTATAAGGAAGCCTGTTTGAAACATCCAGAAGTGGAAGTTTGAGGTGTTTGTGGTCATTGAACACTTAGGATAAAGCACACATTTCCCATGTGAGAAGTACGTATTCATGCAAGGTTTTTAGGATGGTAGGGTAGGGAGAGACTTGTTTTTACAGAAACTCGTTTTCTGTACGTCCCTTGATTTCTTTCTATTAAAGAAATGAAGGATGTAATATATCTCTGAGATAATCTACATTAGAATTCGCTTACAGTATTTAAAAGGTTATAAAAGTAGAATGTCTTTGAATTATAAGGCTTAATGTGGGCTGTAATTGCCATTAGGTCACAAAGCTAATACAGGATTCCCTTGATGGTAAGAGAAACTTGGATTTGACATATCCAGGAACATTAGCTTACTTTTCAGTCAAAACCAGATAATCCCTTCAAACATAAGAAACTGATTTATTAGTAATTATATTTTCTAATTTTCCTAGAATTTTTCCTAATGCTCAAAAATACATTTAGCTCTTCTCGCAAGAAATCACAAAATATCTACGTGCCATTATTCATTTTGTTATTCAAATTATTATTTTGTTCTCGCACCCTTTGAATGATGGGGGATTAAATGTTTTACATATTACCACAGGACAGTCTGAAATAGAAGACTGCAGAAAATTACATGAGGAGAAAAATATATAGTTTTTTTTGTAGCACTGCCCTGCTAAACTGGAGGTTTGTTTTCTTAGTTTGTCTTCACAGCTATCATGAAATCCACCATGAAGCATCTCAATATTTTAAAATAACAGCACTTTTAAAAAATGATAATCTTTATATCTGCAGTGTATATTTTGTAAATAAATGTGCAAATATATTGCTATCACATTTTTCTCCTGCAAAGTTTTGTTTGTTTTTGCTAACTGCTGACAAACAGGATGATGAAAATCAGAATTTAAAATCTCAGCTTAAAGATACCGAAGAAGAAAGGACGAGACTGCAACGAAAGATCAGCGTGCAGCAGTCTCAGACTGAGAAATACAAGATGTTATCACAAGAAGCAAGCAAAAAATGCGAAGGATTACAGCAAGAGGTGGTTGCACTAGAAAAGGTATTGCAGATATTAGTGTTATTTATCTCACAATGGGGGAAAATCATCAGATTAGTCCCTTCAGACAAGTTCAACAGATTCATATCCAGCAATCCCATTCAGATCTCAATCTCCAAAAACAGCTTTAGAAATTGTATTTTGAAGTGTTTAATCATTTTGTAAGAGGGAGAAATGATCAATTTTGCTACTTGCTTTTTTTCTGCTTCTACAATCATACTCTATATTTTAGCAAAAGATATGCAAGAGACAAAGCAACCTTTTCAGAAACTACCATAAAATCCATAAAGTCATGAAAAATACAAGCAAATTTTTCTGATTTTACTTGTTAAAAATTAGTTCTCGTAATGATAGCTTTGGTGTAAATTGCAGAACTTGCTGAAAGTTTCAAAAACAAAACAAAACTACAAGTAGAGGAAAGGGTGGCTCTTTGTTCTGTGAAACAGTCTGTGTGTAGACCAGCCACTGCAGGTTGGATGTATCAGCATTAATCTGCCGGGTCACAGCAGACAGCCTTAAACCCAGCTTTGTTTGTTTGGAACTTAATTTAAGAGCAGTGTGTATTTTTCTGTAATTGCTGAGAGCTGGAGAGGTTGACAAGAAAATCATGTAATATTCCAGTTGGTACATATAATGTAACCAGAAGAATGTTTGATTCAAAACATTGGGAAGACAGAATACACTGTACAGAACATGGTCTCTTTCTTCAGTTGCCTTTGCTTGGGATCTCCCTCACTTGCTTCAGTTATTCCTAATCTGGTGCATTTTCTAGAAGCTGACAAGGTTTTTTACTAGATTTGATCATGACAAATAATGGTACTACTATAAAATACTGAGAAGGAAGGGTGGAGAAAGGCAATTCAGAAACAAGAGAGCCTGAAGGCTAACAAAAAGGCCAGCCCCTTCCCCTGGTTACAGAATGTTAACAGAATGTCTTTATGTACCTAAAGTTTGATAGGCTTTTTTCTTAAAAAAAAAAAAAAAAGTCTGTTTCTTTTTCACAAGTGACAAGACGTGCTCTTTCTGCCAGAACTGCTTATTTCTTCTACTTTGTCTCTTATCTATATTCCCCAACCTTTAATCTCATTACTGTTTCTCAGTTTGGTCTCTTTTCCTTATTTCCTGACTTGCAGCACTAATACTTATCAGAGATGAGAGGGAACTGTTTTGATTGTTGCCATAAACACTTGATGAACTATTTTCAGCTAGATGAAATAGTTACTGCCCTGAGGCATCTTAAGCAGGCTGTTTTAACTTCTTGTTGTTAATTACATGTGATAATCTGTGAGAAAAAGAGGTAAAAAAAGAGCTGCAATTCCAGTTGCTGTTCCAAAATCTGCTCCAGGTTGGATGCAGCAGCACTTCCCATTTTTTAAACTGGGCATACAACTTATTTTTTTCCAGTCAATCCCATAGTCTTACATGATCAGTTCCACAATACATTTAAGGGAATGTTAAGAGATTTTTAGAAAGACAGACTCATTTTCAAGATGTATAAGGTGAAAGAAAAAGGACATCAAAGTAGTGAAATTGATGTTATTTGATTCTGTTTGCAGGCCACAGAAATCCACTCAAATTCTCATGGATGACCATTGCTGTAAATGTCTTGCTTTTGTAGCACACCTTAAAATACCACGATTCATAATGTTTGTTTTTATCCTTTGCTTCCCATATAGGAATTAGAGAATTTAAAGCGTGTACAAAAACAAGCTGCAAGCAGTCAAAGTGCAACAGAGGTTCGCTTAAATAGGGCCCTGGAAGAAGCAGAAAGGTATAAAGCAGAGGTGAATAAACTGAAGCAAAGTAACAAGGTACAGTGGCTTAGAAAAACAAAGTCTGTGATTATTTAGTAATGCTAGAAGGAGCCCAGAGGCTTGATCAGCTTTGGAAGTATGCCATCTTTTACAAGCTACCCCAGAAGTAACTTACAACAAACAGATCAGCAAGGGGCCTGGTAACTTATTTCTACTGATAATACTGCAGGAAGGGATGCATAGAATAAAATCAGAGCCTGTCTGCCCCTCTTTTTTTAAATTAGATGTGCCTAGACAGAGAGGGGGATACACTTAAACACCTAATAAGTACACAGGCAAACTGCAATATTAATCTAACTTGTTATAAGCCAGTAAATGCCCTCTTTTGAGTTTTTATTAAGTTTTGGTGAGGGAATATTTTAAGGCATCCATTATTTCCTGACATGTCATGTGGCTAACATCTGCCATTTATGTTACACCAAGTTTCTCTGGTTAAAGCTTTACTTAACGAATAATACATTTCTTGCCTTCCCATGGCAGGATGTAGCTAACCAAGGACTCAAAACAATTGAAGAATTAAAAGCAGAAAACAAGAAACTGCAGAAACAAAAAGGAGAACTAATAACAGCTTTCAAAAAGCAGCTGAAGTTAATTGATATTTTAAAGAGACAAAAGGTAAGAACCTAAATATTGTTGTCTTTCAAATAACTTAGCTAAACTTATCTGTTTTCAAGTAATGCACTCACATAAACCACAGCCCCAAGAACAGGAATTTTCAATGCAATGGAGCAGCTGCTTCACTTTCATTAGTACACATCACAAACATCCTCTTTGGAATTGGCTGAATTCCTAACTTGGAACATATCCTGTCACGGTGAAAGATTACCACTGACGAGCTTTGAGACCAAGAGTATCTGTTTGTTTAAGAAAAAAAATACTGTTCAAGTAGTACCTGCAAGCAGCTCCCTGTGGTGCTGCATCAATGCAATTCATTTTAGCATTTAGTTTTTGTTGTCTCTTTTTCTCCAGCATGTTTCTTATTCTATCAACAGCTGTACCTTTAGCGCTCTCTCACAGTTAAGCCATTACATTTCAGCCCCGTGTTTTTCCTGGGTTCTCAAAGTATGCCCTTCTCTATTAATACTGCCTCTTGGTACTTGTATTCTGAAGTGTTCTGTACATGTACAGATCTGGAACAAAGTGAAAGACCCTGTAGGTTTTGATGAAAGCAAATTGAAATGAAAAGAGTATGTTCTAAAAGATGTTGCCCAAATAAAAAAAAATCTTTCCATTTACTGATGCATTTAGATCTTACACTTCCAACACAGCTTTTGCTTAAAAGATTGATTGCATCCAATCCTAATGCAATTTTCTTTCTGATGCTGCACAGAAGACTTGCAGAGCTAAATGCCTCAGAATAGTGTAAATATGTTCTTAATTTTACAGTGGTTCACATTTGCTTAGTGCTGAATCTTTACTGATGCAAAGCACCGAACAGCATAGTAGAATGAGAAGTATCTTTTTGCACTCACAAACCAAAGCTATCAGATAAAGAAAGCAAGGAATGGTGACTTGAACAGAAGCATATTAGAAGATGCCTTTACAATAAGAAAATAGAACATTTACCCTTTACTGCAGTGAGAACATGACAATTAGTAAACACTTGAACTTGCTGAGCCTCCATAGAGAAAGAACAGTTCTGTATGAAGTGGCAACTTCATAATACAGACTGCACATACTTATCTCAAGAACAGAGAACCACACCACAGAAACACACCCTGGGATTTTGAATACATCTCCTATACAGAACAAAGGAGGACAGGTAATAGGAATAAAAACAACTGGGGCTGCTCAGTAAATGAATTTTTCTGACCGCACCAGAACTAAGAAGAAACGTTGGAAATAGTGTTAATTTAGCCTTGTCTTGCTCTCTTAACTCTCTAAAGTTATTTTGAGAATGAAAAAACCACACCATTCACACAACAGATACTCTATATGTGAGCTACCTCATTCTCTAGAACACCAATTCACTGAAAGGAGCACCAAGGAACAGCATTTGACTGAACCAAAATCAGCATCAGATAAGCTTCACAAAACTTAAATAAAAAAATTATTAATACCATATCAAAACTGCAGATAATAGAAGAAACCATTTCCCTTCTGTTAATAAAAACATATACTCACAGAAAAAGATTGCTGCTAGTTGCTGTCCTTTCAGAACAGGCAGGGGATTGAAGAACCTGAGAATGATACTAAATGCTGCCTTTATCCCTCCCAGCAGAAGGAACTAGGAAAGGCAGCTAAGCTCACATGACACCAATATACATAATCATCAGAAGAACTTAATTTCATTTCACAGCAGCCTGTTGTTGAATTAAGGAAGACCTAGCCTGACTCACTTGTGTAGTATATTCGTGGATTCACATGCACCTCACCTGAAGATGAGGATATATTACTGCATGAAGAATAGTAGAAGAAAAAAACCCACCCAAAAAGTATTAAATATCCATTAGCAGGATGAGTTGCAGCTGCCAGCGAGTAGTTGCTGGTATTCAAACTGGTCTTTAGACCATCCTCTGCTTGTCTCAAGATCATGGAAGATCTCAGTTTTAAAAGGGATCTAGGGGAACTAAACCTGAGTTTCAGGCTATCTGTGGGAATTATATATGCTTAGTAGGCATTGTTTGGAACCAACAAGGCGTCTGTACGTTTATAGGGAAAAATCAGACACCTTGTAGATGTGAACTGTTCCTGTTTCCTTCAAAACAGTTCTCATGTTTAAAAAATGCATTCTAAGAACTGTTTAGCCAGGACACCTTCCTTGCCACTTGAAATGTTGATAAGGGATGAGGATGAAGGGGATGAGGACATGTGGCATATCTGTGATGTTTACTGTGACAGCAGCTGCAAAGCAGTGAACTTCCAGGGCTTTCTGGCTGCTGCTCATTTTTGAGTGATAGCTCTGTGCAAATACATTGGCCTGAAAGTCCTTGTTTTCTCCTCAGTCACCTTGATGACATTCTTGAGGACTATTATAATTTTTAATCACAAAGCAGCCCTGTAGTAATCTTAAAATTCTGTTTGTTCCACTCAAAGCAATGTTCTATTTCCTACATATATGTGCCATAATGGACCATCTCTGTACAGCATGACTTACAGCAACACAGCAAAGGGTAATCAGCTCCAGCCATCTCTCAGCAAGGTGTATTCATTTAATGCTTTGCTTTATGTTGATTATACTAATTAGGAATCCTTTTGCTAAAATACTAATTTAACATTAAATCATACATTTAGCAGCACTACTACTCTGACTGAATCTTAGTGACACATTTGATTTGTATAGCTTTAAATTTAGCTGAATATTGATCAGCTTGTAAGAAAGCATACAACATTTCTTATGTATTTTTTAAGAGGACACAGGAATTGTCAGTTTTCCAGTAATTTCTATGCTCCATTAAAAATATATATTTGAAGCTATACAAAGAATTAAGAGAAGTCATTGATCCTTTTATTAGAGCTGAAGATGCAATATTAACTATAAAATTTATCACAATCCTCACATTATAAGATCAAACTGTTGCAAAAAATATGAATAGCAACTTCATCTTAAAAAGGTGAGCCTCCATCAGAACCACAGTGTGGAACCACAGAGAATCGATGTGAAGCCCCTTTCAGTCATGCAGGTCTTTGTGTTTGTCATTCATGCTGCTTTATCTTCTGCTCCTGATTTATTTTTTATTTCTTTTGAGATGCACATTGAAGCTGCTAGGATGCTTTCTTTTACTGAAGAGGAATTCATGAAAGCTCTTGAGTGGGGAAATGATTGATTCAAACTTGTTTGAAATACAAAACAGACGGTACGTTGTTTTGGCACTAGGAGTGTATGTTAATAGTTAACAAATATATCTCAGAGAATGGATTTTGGTGATTCTGCTCACGTTGAAATTATTTCACTTTTAAAAGCCTGATAGGTTGCTTTGGAATGTCACATGCAATACAGATTTCCTGTGAAGTTCCAAGCCCAACTGTTCCATAAGGAGCCAAGAGGCACAGAGAGCAGGTGAACTTTGTTATCTGTTCTTCTGTTTTTTAGCATTCAAAACTGTTAAATAAGGTAACATTCAGTCTAAAGAGAAGCCAGAATTACTATAATCTAATACAGCTTATTGTTTGAAAGTTCCTAATTTATTTAGTCAAGGTAAAAAAAAATGTATATATAAATATTTATATATTTCTGTGCTCACTAGATACTGGTAATGGATACAGTCAGCAGTGATGGCTCCATATCACAAGCACTCTACATGCATTGTTTCCTGATTTTATTATCTCATCATTATAACCAAGTAATAAATAAAAATGTGGGTGTAGATGAGCTAAGCAGATGATGTACACTAATAAACAAGAGTAATAAAAGCCCGTGCTGGTGAAGCTTTGTTAAACCTCAGCTACTTCAGTGGATTCCTCCCTGAGAGTGATTTAGTAGAAATGTGACACACAAAGTTTGTTTATGTGCTGAAGTGAGGCAATTAGCAATGACTCTGAAAGGTGCTTATAGTGAGAGTGGGGTTGATCTCTTCTCACTGGTGACAGGACAAGGGGAAATGGCCTCCAGTTGCACCAGGGTAAGTTTAGGTTGGATATCAGGAAAAACTTCTTTACAGATAGGGTGGTTAAACGCTGGAATAGGCTCCCCAGGGAGGTGGTTGAGTCACCATCCCTGGATGTGCTTAAAAACCATTTGGATGTGGTGCTCAGGGATGTGATTTAGCGGAGGATTGTTACGGTAATATGGTTAGGTCATGGTTGGACTTGATGATCTTTAAGGTCTTTTCCAACCTGAGCAATTCTATCATTCTATGACTGACCTCAAAATGAGAATTACATCTCAGATTTTACTAGCAAAGTCACATGAACTAGCAGTGGAAAAAGTAATTCTGATCTACCATTAGTGATTTATATTACCTACCTTTAGATTAGTAATTTAATAGTACAATGCAAATGTAGATACTTCTTTAACTTACAAACAGAAACAGTGCATTAAGATAATCGTATTGTCTGTCATGTGATACCCATCTGAACTTACACTACTTCAGGTTTCTGTAGTGTGGCTGAAGAAAACATTTTCAAACATTGCTTCATCACTGACTCAGTCATATTATGTAGCTGATAGATTATTGAGAAATCTGTAGCAATTTATTCCTGAAAAACTTAAGTGCATTTAAATAAGATGAGCCATTCTTCAGTTCAGAACTCCAGACTTAAAATGGAGATTTTTATGAGAATAAAAACAAGTTCCTTGCTATTAACAGCAAATGGACATTTTCATTAGCAATCAGATGACACCTAGTGGCAAAGCAGGAGAGCAGACCTGGAAAATTTCAGCTCTCCTCAGAAGATGGATTACCTCTTCTCTTCTGATAAGCCAACCTAAATTCCTCACCAAGCATGTTAATATCATCTTCGCCTTTCAGTATTCCCTGGAGAAAGAAGCACCACAGAAGATAAAAAGAAATTAAAGAGATATTTATGGATCTCTGATTTTTTTTTTTAATGGAAATGATTGTATAGCTAATATCCTTGGAACCCATGTTACCTCTAAAAAACAAAACAAAACAAAAACAGCTCTGAAAACCATCACCAAAACTCAATGGATGAGTTTCTACTTGGTGCTAACCTAGAACTGCATTTTTTGTTCAGGCAAATTAGGGTGAGAATCCAGTAAAGACTGTCACATAAGCATTATACAAAAAACAATGTTTATCTGCATTGTGTTTCCAAGAAAAGTGATTAGAGGCAGCAGAGCACATCTGTAGGTTTAGCAAAAATCAAGAAACTACACTGAAAAGAGGCAACAGCTTGACTGGGGCTTCATCTCCACATTCAGGTGTGCTGAAGTAGTATTGGAGATTTCAGAACTAGGCAGAACTTTGCTATCAATCCATTCTGAGTGAAGTCCCATGCAGTGTGACACCCTGTTAAGGACTCATTAAAGCAGAGAAAGAACAGTAGGACATCAGTACCATGGGGCAGATATGAGCCATGGACTCTGAAACAGCCAAAGCTGTTCAACAACAGTCAGCTCAAAGCAGGAAATTACATCAAAAGTAGTGTCCATTTGTGTTGCACTTTAATCGCATCCTCACTGGAAATTAACTCTCTGAATCTCTACTTCCAAGTCGTACCAGTTCATGCACAAAGTGAGTATACTAATTATTGGATTAAAAATAAAGTTTGCTACGTTTACAATGTGTTTCAGTACTGCAGGAAGTAATTTCTTCAGACATCTGAGTAACTCCCTCCCTCCTCTTACTGCATCTCTACATCCTAAAGGCAGCTCTCTGTTCATTTGTGTACTATCAGGTGATCTTGATGATGATGAAATGTAATATAAAATAAATTGTAAATGAATGAAGTACAAGAGTTGCTTCCATCTTTATAACCTTTAAAAAGGTAAGGATGAACAGAGAGAGTGCTGACATTCTTCTGTGAGCCCTGCCATTTGTTGCACTGTAACAGGGAAGAGGCCTTGTTTCCATGCCAACAGAAGACATACAAGGCAGCCAACAACACAGATAACTGCTCCTAAAACCCAAATGGAGGAAATTGGTCAAAACTGCCTTTTAGTGGAGCCCTTTCTAGCTGGAAAAGCCCTTCTTTAAAAATTACATTCCATATCCCAAAAGCTTTGGATCTGCAAAGAGCTGTGGAAGCAATCAGCAAGCTCTGCACATGGCCTCAATAGGGCAGTACAGCCTAAAGCTTCTCAGTGTTCTTTCACTGCTTTTCAATCCAAGGTGAGCACATAAGAGCTGATCCAATAAGGATACTCACTCCACGTGATTCACATGGCTAACAACTTTACCTTAAACTATCCAAGAAAAAAAAAAGATCTATAGAACAAACATTTAAAGCATTTAACAGATAATCACTTACTCTAGGAAGATAACCCAGTAATTTAGATGCATGTTCTTTCAGGAGTTTCTGTCTCTCTTCTTCAACAACTGCACGAATGTTTGCTTGTCTCTTCTCCTCCAACTGCCATTCTTCAAGTTCACGCTCCTACAATAAACAAGCAAGTTTTGTTGAGTTTCAGCTCCATGAACATTAATCCTTAGTTTCTATTGGTGGAAATAAAAGAGGTGCTTTTTTTTTTTTTTGTGGAGTAAATGTTTAACTTTCATTTAATTTTGACTCCTGGTCACAAGAAAATAGATTTGAAAAGGATGAAAAGCGTGTGTAAAAGAAACAAAGCACAAGTTAAGTAGAAGAAATATCTCTGACAAAAGAGAAGACTGAATAGCAAGACATGGGGCTGTAGTTATGTTATTTAAAAGCCCTTTTTAAAAGATTGGTAAGCAAAACTTGGGTTCCTCGCCAGCTCTTAGACAACATAGTCTGTTCCTGCTTCACTGCTCTGCTCCAGGAAAAGGAAAAACAGACATGTGCTCTTGTGCTGATGACCAGAAACTACAACTCACGTTATACATGTGCAGTCTGAAAACTACAAGGTAGATGTTTTTAGTTTATGTAGAGGTTTTTCTTCCTCAGATGCTAAAAGGGGACACAGTCTGAAATCAGGGCTGGGTTCCCCCTTTTATGCATCCTCAGTTCTGCTGGCTGATCAGGGAGGCTGAGCTGGACAACATTTGTGTCACTGATCTCATGGCTCTTGAAGGGCTATATGCAGAGCATGTCAGGCATACAAGGATCTACAGGCTCTAACCTTTCAAGCCCTAAGAAGTTAGCTCTAGAAAGATGCTTTTCTTTCAACAAAACAAGGCCGTGCTTCCCACCCCTTCCCCCTGCCATTTCTCTGCAGTTCTGTCCTTTCCCTGCAGCCTTGGTGTAGGATAGAGTATTCTCATGTTAAAATGGTTTGGTTCAGACCAAGGGTGAAACTGAAAACTTCTCTTACTTTATCTGCAATAAATTGTTTGTGACGGTCTTCAATAAGTTTTTCCACAGCCTTTCTGTGTTCAAGCTGTTTCATTCTTCGTTTCTGAGCATTCATCTGTTCAATACGATCATCCTCTGCAAACTTGGCCTGCATCTGCTGTCTGAAGGCTTCTTCCTCCTCTTGCACAGCTTGCTGTGCTATCTTCTTCAAAGCAAACTGCTCTTCATACATTTGCCTTAAATCTAGGCGTTGCCTTATTCTCTTCTCAATTTCTGCCTATAAAGAAAATTCAGTAAGATGCTGTATATTGAAAACTGTTTGAAAAAACTCATCTTCAGCCAATCTGATTTCTCAGAGAAGAAAATGACAGTGCCTGTTACTGTCTACATAATAAAAAACCTGGTACCTGACAAGTGCCAAAATACCCATACACATATCTGCAGAAGTCCATGAAAAGTGAGCCTCCCCACAGCCAGTACAGGCACTGCTTCAGCTGCCTCCCAGCACTCACCATCTCCTTCTTTCTATCCGTCTCAAGTTGTTCTTCCAGATACAGCTCTTGGCGTATTTGTTCCAGTTCATCACGCTTCTGTTGCTCTCTTTCTAGATTCTGGGCAATCTATTATAAGAAGGAAGGATTTCTAAGTAAAAGAAAAAAATACAATATGATGTTTTTCTACAATTTTAATTTTTAATACCATGGCCTGAAGTCGTTGTTTTTTCTCCTCCATGTCTCTAACTTTGGCCATCCGATCTTCTTCTCTTTGTTGCTGACTGTTGGCAAACTCCACAATTTTCCTGTTTTCTTCTTCCATCTCTTCCCGTTTCTTCTGCCTCCATACAGCCTGTTCTTTTTTAAATTCTTCTATATATGTCTGAATTGCTCTCATCTTTTCTAACTTAAGTTGTTTTTCTCTGTGTAAAGTAAAAAACAAGAGAGTATTGTTATTTACCATCCTGGGGCGTGACACTGAGCAAACCACGTGCTCACCATTATTCTAGACTAAGATTTAAATGACCATCCTTTCCCATTCAGCTGGAAACTAGATGCCTAAATTGCAAATACTTATTAATGAACTACCTCTGAAAAGGAATCTTTGCCTTTACTAATGTCTAATGTGTGTAATGCCTTTACTCAGGAGGACAGGCTGTACACATTGGTGTTCACTGCTCCTCTGGTTTATACATGCTCCATTCAAACAGAACAGAGAGAAGGAAGCTCAATAGCCCAAATGCCTCACAAGCTCTGAACCTGTTCTAAAATTTATATGGAACTCTTTCTGCTTTCACTGTGCCCCCAGAAACCTCCTTCCTCATCTGTGTCCATAGGACCAGCACACAACATGTATCACAGGAAAGCAGGGATGTGAGGTGAGGTGGAAATCTGTGACAGGCAGTCATTTCTGGTGCAGTGAGAGCGCCTTGAACATGAGCTGATTTCCTGTCTGGGTACAAGGACACAAGACAGACTGAAATAAGTGGAATATTCTGGCTCTTAAAACAGCAATCCACACAAGTCAACTTCTTTTTACTAAAATGGGACAAGAAATACTTATTCAATAGGAATGATATGGTGAAGTGGACCTTAGCCAAGGGAATAAAGCCTACAATCCTATAAGGAACTATATGCAAACTAAAAAACAATAAAAACTCAAATTTACAAACTTTTGATCTTCCTCATAGATCTTCCTGATGATTTCATCAATCATGAGTTTCTCTTTCAGAAACTCATCATAAACTCCCTGCTTCTTCCGCTCCTGTTCCTCAAGCTGCTTCTCCAGCTCTTGCTGATACGTTATTTTCTCCTCATTTCGCCTCAGTTCTGCCAAACTTTCTTCTTTTGCTGCCCTTTCATACTCTTCCTTCATCTTTTGGGCTATTTCAGCCTCACGTTTCTATAGGAGAAAATAAAAGAAAAAGCTATAAAAGATTCCTTTTTACTCCCATTATTACTTCCCACTTGAAAAATTACACAGCACAGGGAAGGAACACTGCACGATGAAACCAGTCTCTCTCCCCTCTACACACACTCACCATGCAGAATGTCTCAACTCAGGAAGAAGAACCCTTGGAGAGAATCCCCATTGTATAAACAACTTGAGAGCAGCTATCGGTACTTGAAGGCAGCTATATGGATTGCTAAGACCAAGCAGAGCATTCAGCGTCTGAACAAAACACGCTCATGCTGCTGTGATAACTGGAACGTAGCAGAACTTTGCAGAACATCCTCAGCAGAAGTTTTGTCGTTACAGCAATTTGCTTATGTTGTATTTTGTGTCAAACTTGAATGCATTCAGAGTCTTCTGCCTGATCACCAGCACCATACGCACACAGCAGCTCACAGGTCTTTTCTGGAGTTACTCAGACACGCGTCTGTGTTTAACAGCAGTGACGTTTCCAACCGCTGTGCCCGAGGATTCGCTGCAATAACTGCTCACTGTGCAGCAACACCACAGCTGCTGTTTTAACCTCCACCAACGTTAAGGAGTGGTGAAATCACCGCTGTGTCCCATCACACAGCTTTGCACACCGCTGCTCCCACCACAACGCCAGGTGAGCCTTCTGCCACGGCCGTGTGCCACAGCACGCCGCTGGCTGCTGCACACAGAGGAGGATCTGGAAGCAGCACGGGCAGGACGCGCGGAATTACCATTTTCTCAAACTCTATGGCTTCTTTCTCAGCAACCTGCGCCGCTCGCTCTTTGTTCAGATACGCAGATTTTAGTTTTTTCTCGAGTTCTCGAAGTTCAAGACTGAGAGAAGGGAAAAAAAAAAAAAAGAGATAAAGCGTATCCCATTGTAAGCAGCCCGGTGCCTACGGGCCAAATGGCACTGCCAGGGCGGGAAGCAGCAGCGGGCGGCTCTACCTGTTCTCCCGCACTTGCTGCCTCATCTTCTCATCGCTCAGCTCCTCGTGCTTCAGCCGCACCAGCTCCGCCGCCAGCCGCTCCTCCTGCAGCCGCCGTCGCTCCCTCTGCCGCCTCTGCTCTTCTTCCTGCACGGAACGAGCGACCGCCGGCACGACTCTCCCCCCGGCCCCGCCCGCCCCCGCCGGCTCCCCCCGCCGCAGCGCCCGCGGTTCTCACCGTCCGCACGGCCTCCTCCAGCCGCCGCTCCCGCTCCACCGCCGCCCGCAGCCTGGCGGCCCGCAGCCGCCCGCCCCGCTCCTCCGCCGCCGGCGGCAGCCCCGGGCCGTGCCACGCGGACGCCTGCGGACGACAAGAGAGCGGCGGTGCCGCCGGGCCGCCCCGACGGCCCCCGACGGCCCCCGACGGCCCCCGACGGCCCCCGACTCCGCCGCCCCGCCCGCTCACCATGCCTCCCCTCCAGCAGAGCGCGCGCCGCGTCGCCTTGGCGACGGCGGAAGGCGGCGGCGGAAGCGGGCGGCGACTTCCGGTCAGCGGAGGGCGACAGCGCCCCCCTCGGGGCGGTGCGGGGCGCGGAGCCGCCTCACGGAAGTTGTGCTGCGGGACGGGCGGACGAAGCTTTGCAGCGCGTTTCGGGCGTGCCGCCGAGCGCCGAGAGCGCGTAACAGAAATACGGGCGGAGGGACAACGCCGGAATCCTCACCGCTCGGGACGGCTCGCGAGGCTCTCCGTTCTCCCCCGCGGGCCGCAGGCACGTGGCACGCGCAGATCTCCAACAAAGGAGCGGCCTGCGGCCTTACAGCCACCGCGTGCTGGGCAGGGAGAACGCTGCAGAAACCCCACGGAAACCACCGCGTGCCCCTTGCCCTGCTCCCACCCTTAAACAGAGTAATACAGCCGCTGCTCTCATCTCTTCCCTGGGCACTTCCCCAAGGCCTGCAGGCCCTAATGCTCCCGCTGTCGTTTTTCCCCTGTATCACGTTTTTCCCCTGTATCACGCAGACCTGTCTCTGGCCGCCTGTGTCTGTGTCCCGTGTGCCGCCCAGCATTCAGCCCCCAGGGCACAGCACGCTCCTGCCAACTCCCCTGGGCCATTCACACCTGCTGGCAGCGCAGACACCCGGTGCCACTGGCGCGTCCCTTCTCCCCACCAAGGTCACCTCCGTGGATGAGCCACCCCCCCCACAGGAGCCATCTGCCCTGCTCTCCTAGCAGGGCCTTCCCTCGAAGCAATCCGGCGCTGTGTGGGAAGCAGACCTACCTTTCCCTTATGCCCAAAAGCAGAGCTCCCTGACGGCACCGACGCGTTTCTCGTTTAAAGATGCACAGATTTAAGCTGTAGAACAGAGTTCAGTCCTGGGGCAGAGCTGCTAAACACATCTGAAAGAACAGAGTAAGAACATACTTGTTTTGCAAGCCAGCTACACGAGGCACCTTACAGCCAAACATCTTCTAATGATAACACAGACGTGTCTGCTTTGCTGCAGTTTGGAAAGGAGAGTCCCAGCTGCATAACTGCCATAAACTGCTGTTCCGTACAGCACCTCTCCTTGCAGCAGTCTGGTTGCAGCCGGCCTGTCATGTCAGTGACTGCTGCTCATCCCTTTTTCTTAACAGCATCAAACACGCCCAGGGCCTGGAAAGCTTTGTGCAGCCAGCAGCATGCACAGTCCTTCCTCAGATTAACACAGTGTTAACAAATGCTGCAGTTTTCAGTCCCAGTAGCACCACCCTGTGATCAGCTCATCACTGCAGAAATCAACGCTGCTGAAGAATGAGAATTTGGCCAATGATAAACATGATAAAATAGAGCATTTCAGGGATAAAGGTGGTTCCCTTTACTTCAGCTGCTTAAATTGAAGGTGATGCAGGAGCACACAGCAGGTAAGGTCACTAAATAAGAAAGTCGATGCCACTTCACAGGTTTACTTTTCCAGGGCATTTTAGCAGATCTTGCCATGTGACAGTGAAAAATGCGTTCCAGCTGAGATAAGATATGTGGGTTGTGCTGACTTTGCAACAGTACAAACCACCGTGGGGGATAACAGTGTCACTGTGAGGTAATTTACCTTCTTCAGATGAAAAGATAAATGTGAATTAACAGGAAAGGGTCTGAAACATCTGAGCAGTGGTATTGATCTGCTAAAGACCCAGATAAGTCACAGAGAAATGCTTGCCTGCTTTCCCTGATGTGGGTGATGGATGGAACAGCAGATTTAGCAGCCAAGGGGCTGTCACTGTCAAGAAAATCTGAGCACTAAGAATAATAATATATATATATATGTAATTATTCTGCAATAGAGGGGAAAATATGTCCCGGCACAGCAGCAGGCAGAAGTTATCTTTTACTTATGAGATTATGGACTGTAAGCAAAAGTACTACAAGGAACGAAGACACTCAGTGCTTCAGATGCATTCAGCAAAAGTACAGCTGTTCCTGATTGATGTTTTAATATTTAGCTACAGCATTGAGTTTGCAAAGCATGAAGAGAATAAATGGATCATCTCAGGCCAGAAAGGATTGTCTTGGAAAAACATATGACCAGAAACTCATCTTTTGGGCAACATTTCTCTGGCTCATCTACAGGTTTCCATCTCTGTTCAGTTGGTCTGATAGAGTTAAAGCTGTCAGCATCCAAAGATGAATCATAGAATGGCCTGAGTAGAAAAGGACCACTGTACTCATCTAGTTTCAACCTCCTGCTATGTGCAGGGTCACCAACCAGCAGACCAGGCTGCCCAGAGCCACATCCAGCCTGGCCTTGAATGCCTCCAGGGATGGGGCATCCACAACCTCCTTGGGCAGCCTGTTCCAGTGTGTCACCACCCTGTGTGTGAAAAACTTCCTCCTAATATCTAACCTAAACCTCCCCTGTCTCAGTTTAAAACCATTCCTCCTTGTCCTATCACTATCCACCCTAGTAAACAGATGTACCCCCTCCTGTTTATACACTCCTTTCAAATATTGGAAGGCCACAATGAGGTCCCCACCTTCCCACCTATTTTCCTATCAGTAATGGAACATAATGGAGCAAATCAGAATTTATATCTACAGTACCCTGTATCTACACGTAACATGTATTTCCAGGTAAACTCAGAGTTCTTTATTTCTTATTAACATCAATTTCTGACTTATAAAGCTCTTAAAGCACCTATGGTGTGTGCCGATTCCTCCAAGAGAACAGTTTTTGAAATAACAAGATTACATACACTCCAAAGACCACACATGGATGAATTCTGCTCCACATTGATGTTACACTCTGATGTTTCTTATCAGAGGTGTACAATCAATGAATATACAGATGTTATGGTATAGCAGAGAGCTTGGCTACGTAGTTGTTACACCAAAACAGGAAACAGAAATAATAGGTACACACATCCATATCCTGGACTCACGTGGAAAACTCCAGTGGAGTAGATCTCCAGAAGAGATCCTTCCCCACTGGTAGTCAGCTCTTCAATAGGTCTAGGAGAGGTGCAGCCAGGCTCCACCCCTTCCAGCAGCACAGGTGAATTGCCTTCACCTGTGCTCCCATGACTGACTCATTGCTCGCCTCAGGTGATCAATCAGAGGTTCAGGCCGTGACTCAGCAGTTCCCCTACAAGAAGGTTCTTAGTGGCTGTATGCACAATGATTATTGTTATAAGGGCAGGATAACACCAACACAACTCCTTGGCTATTCTGTGAGGAGTATATTTAGAAACTGTAGAGTAGTACAATTTCATTTGATTCTGTTTTTGTGCATGCAGATGGGTGAGACAATCCCTTCTAGCTTATGTGTTGACAAAATCATTTTTTCACCCAACAATGTCTTACTTCTATACAATACTTGCAATTCTTCATTTCCATATTGGCATTAAATGTATGTACTTCTCAAACCTTGCAGACCAAACCCATTTGGACACTGTGAAACAAGAACAGAAAATCAGGACGTTTTTCTTCACTCAGTTTCAGGCTCACTGTGGGCACTCCCTTGGGCTCACTGCCCATTTCTTTCATGTCTTCCCTCTGTGTTTCTGTTTCCATACGGTTTCTGTCCTACTATTACTACTCCAACCAATACCAAGCTTATAGCTTTCTGCATCTCTTACCCTGTTTAGTCATTTTGTAAGTGTCCTATATTCCTTAGTTTCTTAGTATTTTAATGTATACTGCAGTTCAATTCCTTCTTACAGATATCCTGAAAAAAGACAATGACGACACCACCACCACCAGCCAGGTTTCGTACACCATCCAACAGGAATGTGTTCCATTCAATGAGCTGGGAAATGAGCTCTTACAGCACACAGCACACTCCAAGCTCCCTGCCAGCTGGCTGATGGGCTGCTGGATCTGCACGGGTTATGGAGCAGGGCATTTTCCTCTGCATTTGGCACAACTCTGCTAGCATACGATGATTAAAAAATAATTAGAGCACCATGTCCACCATGCTCTTTTTAATCCAACCAGCAAACACAGGGGAAAATACAAACTACGATCACCAGGCTTTCTGCTTCACCTTTAATCACTTTCTTTTTTTAGGTAAATGTCTGTTGCAGAACACTTATACAGAATTTTGTATTACTATTTCTGTAATGGCACTTCTGGTCTGTGCAGCAAGGGCTTTATGCACTCACATTCAAACTTTTGCCCCCTCAGTTAAACTGAAAATGAGTTGAGATCCTAAGTTCAATTCTGTGATTCAAGCAAAAGAAGTGAGTTCTTTCTGATGCAAATCAACAATGACATTTAGCCACAGATGAGTGTGGAAGCTGTGCACATAAAACCTCATCCAGAAGCCTTTATGTAGTTTATTCAGATTTTTAAATGTGAGCTCTGATTTATTTATTCTTCTTCCTTTTAGTGGCCCCCATAGTAAATGGTGCACCAAATAAAAAGGTGGGATGGCACCAACACCCTGCACTGCCCACTTCATTGGAAGCACCAAACCCAGGTGTCTGCATGTATCTTAACTGGAGCACAAAGACAGCACCAAGAAAAGTGCTTAGAAGAAAGCAGTACCTCTCTCTTTCCTGCACGATACCATCAAACACAGTAACTCCAGAGAGTTCATTTTAACATTTGTGGGTAATTAAATAGGTGAGGAACTTGAAAGAGGAATTCAGCAGAGAGGGAAAAAACTAAGAAAGATGTCATGTTCAAAATTCAGCATCTAACAAAGAATTTAACAAACTAATCCGTAACTACAACCCTGAGCCACAACATGGCTGAACTAATGGGGAGGACAACTGAAGGGCAATAAACAGAAAAGAAATGTCAATCCCAGAAAGGGCTGAGAGCAATGTGAAACTAATTCTGCTGCCTCTGTCCATCTCTCACACTGGCGCCTGGCCCTGCAGTCAGCCCTGCCAGTGCCACAAGCCCTGGGCTGCTGAAAGCTCTGCTTCCCAGCCCTGTGCAGGGACATCTGTGGGTCCTGGGGCAGCTCAGTACATTCCCTGATGTTTTATTCAAAACCCTTCAGAGAAGAGAAGAGTACACAGCAGTTAATGACACATTTCACTGCTGGTAAAAGAAATACAATTCACCAGTTGACTGGGCAGTGGCAGCTCAGCATGACGCTCCCCACCTCACACCACACTGCATGTGTCACCAGAAGTGGGGTTCCCCCAGCACCAAAAGTTGTGCTCACTTTCCCACCCCACAGCTGAGCTCTCATCCTTCCCTTACTTCCCTACGTCAATACATCTCACCTGATACATCAAGTAAGCCAAGCTGCTCACCTGAAATCAGAAGATGATGCACACACTTACTGCAGTGAGCAACTCCATATAGAGTTGGCTGTGTGCTAATGTTTTGTGCAATACACAGGCTTGGTACTTTTTGAAATGAACAGTTCATCTGGAATTACATTTCTACAATTTAGAAATCAAACTTAACCTAATTTGCTGCAGCTGGACACCACCTGCAGAGTACTGTTTAAGTACTCTGAACATTACATACTTATCTTTTAAATATTGATAATGCCATTTGTCATTTATGTGACATGAAGTCCCACAGGGAATAATTATGCTAATTAAACCTTAATGATTCTTGCAAATAAATGATCAAACAAAATTGCTACTGTTGATTTATATTAATGGATGCCTTTAGGAGGAGATTTGTCAGGATGTGCTGCTTCTTGAATCCCAATTCATCTTATTTAGCAGAATAATGTACATAGTTTGTAAAACAGATTAAGCATTTAAAATATAATGTGTTTATAGTTTCTGCAGTTCATAACATTCAACTGTTGTTATCTTGCCTTATGGCAATCTGCATTAAATGCTTTAATGGTATATAACTTTTTCTAGAGTGTTTTTTTTCCTTCTTCCTTAGGGATATGTGGCTGAAGCAGACATATAGTTTCTACTTTTCTGTTATTACTGGGCATACTAGAAATTCCCACCTCACATCCATCTATTTTTTTGAAATTTTAAGCAAGTTCATCTGGAAAACATTTTACATAGGCTTGCCTTCTAGACAATACATACACTTGAAAGCAGTATCAGCGTGCTTCTTTTATTGCTGACTATAGGGCAGGAGATGTTTTAATTGTGTCGGAGGAAAGGAAACAGCAAGGAACATGAATATTCTGAATTAAAACTCCAGCAGCAGAGTGAAGACACAGGATGCTTTTGTCTTTGAGGCAAATGATACCATTAAGTAATCAGTAATTTGCTAGAACTTCCACCTATCCACAGATTTTCAGGATTTTTTTTTTCCCTTTTTATCTCCTTCTGCTTGTTTAGTTCAGCATCTCAAAGAAGGGCTAAATAGCCACGCCAACATCTTGTTTCTCTCATAATGTTCCCAGCTCCCACAAAGCTTAACACTGCATTCACAACAGGCTGTATTTCAAACAGTTGGCACAAATGGATTTTAATACTATCTGCATACTACGTACTACAGTCATGAAGTCCAACTGAACCTGAAAGCAAGATTCCTAACACTGGAGGGCCTGAACACCTACAGCAATTTTCTTACATTCTGTGGATTAATAATCCTCTAATTTGTCAATTTCACTTTATACAGTGGTACTGAGTTCTTTCTTCTTCTAATCAGAGCACTAATTCTGCACATGGCATTTGCTCATCCTGTTTCTTCTAACAATGAGAAACTCACAGTCTCGCTCCTCCCTTAGGTACGGGCTCTTGAACAGCTCCACAATCAGCTAGCAGGGAATGCTTTCAAACATGTAATTACCTTCTGTATGTGACAATAGCATGGAAACTTGGAGCAATTAGTAGAATTGGACACAGACTGAGGATTAGGTGTGCCTAAATTCTGGTTTTGTCTGTACTCTGCTGTGTAGCATTCAGAAAGCTATTTTATCTTACTGCCCTGCTGTACCCTGCAACAATGTTTGTCATAGTCACACAGCAGGAACATCCCAAAAATGAGAATGTCTATACCTGTACTGCACTGAATGGCTACATCACCACCTCTCAAAGGACATCACTGTTCTATCAGAACACACCACCCCAAGTGCATAATTGCCACTGCTCTTATCAGCCTCTCTGCTCATCAACATGTGGGTAAAAACCTTCATCTTAATTTAAAGTCAAAAAGCTTTATGTCACTGGCTTAAAGAGGTGCATGATCTCACTCCCAGGTTTATGCATGTCACTTTTTGCCTTAAAAAAACAACCCTGCTCTTCCTTTTTAATTTATTAAAAGCTTCCTACCCTTGTATCTATTCAGACATGTACAATGGACAGGCAATTGTAGGTTAAGAAGATCATTTTAGTCTTTTCAGAGAGATCATCCCTTTTTCTGTTATGTACTTGCCATTTCCTTACCATCCCACAGGCACTTGCTCTCCAAACACTCTTTCTGACATTCCCAGTTCCTGACCTCAATTTTTCCCTAGCTGCAAAACAATTTAGAGGCTTTGCCTCTTTGAATTTACAGATAAGGATTATTCCTCTTCTTCCACTTCTGTGGGATGACTTCTCAGCCAGTGGGTTTGGGATGACAACTCTTATCGGGCTCTCCAGGATCCCAAAGTAGTGCTGGGACTTGGCTTCTGCAGACAGAAAAAGCAGAAAGTATCAATACCATAGCACCTGGGAAAGCACACACACACCTCCTCTTGAAGAATTTTAGGCAACCCAATTTAATTGAGACTTTCTCTTTGCCCCCCCAGTGTAGAGAGACTGCTTGGTTTTGGCCAAGATTGTTTTTCAAACAGTCACTTGTAGCCTCAAAATGCATTTGGTGTCTAGCAGACAGAATTGCCTGAATCAGTCTGTCTCCTTTGCCACCATTTCTACTACACATTTGTTCTCTACCTTGGAGTAGTGTTAAAACCTTCCAAGAGCTGCACAGGGAGAGCTGCTGCTATTAAACTGCCTCATCTCCACCTTCCAGGTTGTAGTCAGTCGAAGCGCTGCTCCCTAACTGACCCCACTCCACTTCTAGATGTTGTTGTTTATCTGAAATACAGTCATCATTTAAATCATTTGGACTCACACATCTGCTTTCATACACTGTGGAAGTTTTAAGGTACCTGATCCTTAACAGTTAGTTCATACAGCTTAGTTAAAATTTATATGTAACTTATTTACATTTAGATATTAAAATATTCCTTACACTTTGTTTGTATGCACATAAATTGAGATTTCAAACATGTCACTGTAAATTTGCTGGGAATTCATATGTATTCTTTAGAGCCTATACAGTGAATGGATTCTATTTTAATACTTGTCCATTTTTATGCTGTCCCCTAAATAATTCATCTTTACTGATTGCTACTTATAGGTACCACTGCATTTTGACATCAGACTCCTCACCAGCAGCTGCATAAAACAAAATTCCTATTACCCAGGGTGCAAGATTCACTCTCTAAGTATTTTCTCCTTTTTTAAAAAACAACCTGAAAAGAACAATTTCTTCTGACCTCCTTGTTAAGCAACGTGCTTGTTTCCAGAAGGACTGTACATTTACTTTTTTCTACCTAATTCAGAGAAGGAGAAAGAAAGAAGGATTTCTTGCATGACGTTAAATAATTCCAAATAAGCATCAGTCCTTGATGTAGGAAAATGTACCTTCTGTGCCCTCAACTACAGCAGAGAATTCATTTCTCCTAAAGCAGTACTCAAAAAATGAGTATGTTTTGTGTATCAAAATGGCACAAATCTCTGAATGTGTATTTTCTGGCCAGTCCCAGTCAATGTTAAGTAACTGTTAAGGCAGTATATAGAGTTTACAGCACAGTATTTGACCTCATATTTGAACAGTAATTTAAACTGAGCTGAGTAAAAACAGAACAAAAATCCCAGGCATCTGTTGACATTTTTCTAAATATTGCTAAAAATGTATAATTCAGAAATAAAATAGGCAGAGTTTGCAAGCAAAGGATATAACACCAGTAATGCTAATCAAGCTGATGTTACATTGCACATGTAATGAACTCGTGAGATAGAGTAGAACATGGAAAAAAGAAAAATACTAAAACACAGCAAATGCTAAACCACAGATTGCTGCAATCTCTACCTAAGTCACAAAGATGTGTTCTTTGAGTTCTGTTTATGCTGTGTTGATTTAATGCAAACAAACTTTAGAATCCTTTCTAGCTGGTAGTCCCCCAAGTGTAAGTAGATGCAGTAATTAAATTGCTTAGCAGTAAAGCCATGGAACAACATGACATTCATGACACTTTCAGTAAAAATGCATCCAGGCTTTCCTGTAGGCCTCTTTTCGGAAATATTTCTGTTGCTGATACTCTGGAAACAGGGAGATTTTTAAAAATACGTCGAGTACATTTTAAACTTAAAGAATTAAGTCATTAACACATTTATAGCAGAGCCGAGTCTCTCACTGCTCAGGGAGTGAAAGACACACCAAACAACTGACTTACTAACAGACAGAAAGAAGATGAGCTTTTCTGCCTATTCACATCAGACTGCGTTCAGCCTGACCATCTCAGCCCAGGCAGGGCTACTTTCACTGAATCTGAAATAATGCATTCACAGCAGAATGACATTTCTAGATACCATGCTCCTGACTACAATTGTGCATGGTGACCTGGTCCCAGCCTTCACAACAGTGCTTTGCCAACACCACGACACCACGCCTTCGCAGGCACTTGCCGTGCATTGATTCCAAAGCAGAAGGCTGCACTAATTATAGCTGTCTGAATTCAGTTCTGCTTCGGTCTGCCAGAAGATAACCAAAGGGATTTTTTTCCTACATGGTTTATTTTTAAAGGATGACTTCTGAAGCACACAGTTACAAGACGTGAAGATACACTGTGGGCCTTGGCTTATTTTGAGAGCTTGCTACACTCTGTTCTTCCTTTAACCTAAAAAAAAATATCAAAGTTCTGTTTTCCTGGCCAACTTCTCTGTGACTCACAGTTTCCATAACTGCAGTTTCACATTCATGAATCCACCAAGGCTATTGAATATTTATCAGATTTTGGACATTTCTTTCCTTTTTTTCTTTTCATTTCTTTTCATTTGTT